TAGTTTCTATTTTGCCGGGCGAAATAGATTCCGTGATAAGTTGAAAACCACCAGCAGGTTTTAAGGGAGCTTACCATGACTAGTTAAAATTCAGGATCAAATTTCATGAAATAACTAAAGCGAAACCAGGTCTGTTGTGATAGCTTTTGTCATCCAATCTATTGATTACTCCCGAACGTGTGAACATGTGTGGAACACCAATTTTCCAAACTTTCGGCTGGGTTGCTGCAGGCTATCCACACGAGGATAAAGACGCTTTGTTCCACACACAAGCCAATACTGCCGAAAATCAAAGCGATTCACCAAGAGGTTTCAGCTGACTGACCGATACTCGAACAATTCGAATCTTTTCCAAATGAATTCACACCAGGCAAAGGAATCTGATCAGACTATCTGCTTAGTCAGGAGTCACTCACTCATATTTTGCCATAGGCAAGTCCAGCTGCCACTATTGTGTGCTCCCACTGTGTTGTCTATCTGACTGACCCAGCGGGTAGTTTCTATGGAGGGATTTGTCCCACAGGTGGTATCGAAACACCCTGGTCCTGTCTTTGATTGGCACCTTGATTTATTCACTCATACAGACGCTCCTTGAACTGCGGGTTTCCATCTTGTTGAACAACCATAAATTTTGTTGTTCAGCGGTGATTCTCGCTACGTTACCCATAAAAAATTTCACACCGAAATTCACAGTTGGTTAGACAAATGAAACGTCTCTGTTTAGTACGAACAAGTCAAGTGGCGTCAGACATATTTATTTTCCATGCTTCGACCCCCTTAAGTGTATGCTTTCCACCCTAACGGAAGAATTCACATAAATGTGCATTTTTATGGAATCTTTGAGCAGTGTCATGTTTCTCCAACTAAAAAGAACGCTGTCAGATTCGTGTTTTCACCAGCACTCCATTCCATTCAACTAACTAGTATCGTAAGTCCGATTTAGTTTAACTTAGGATACTCAGCCCGAGGCACAAATAGGTTCATTTGGGAACTAAACTTGGGTGTGTAGTGCACGGATTTTATGACCTTAGGGATATGTTACTTCTCAGCAGAGAGATCTTGGCATCCCCAATGATAGTTGTCTTTAAAGTGGTGGAGCTATATCGCTCCGTATTTCTGAGTTGGGATTAAATCTTTTGCTTCCAGTACTGCTACAGTGACGGTTTCTTTTCCGTTTTATCTTCTGCTTATTCTGCTTTAACTCTCTCAGTAGCCAGTAGTTATAAGGGATTGACCAACAAAGCGACCTATGGGAAATGTTTGGGTAGCCGTTTCCAAACCTCTCTGAAACGAAGCAACTTATACTTGATCGGTGCGAACATCCTTAAGAAAACCACTAACACTAACACCCGGCTTCATAGAGTTCAGATTAGTTCCCAACCACATGAGTTCCTATGATCTCCAGTCTATATGCAGTCCGGCGTTCTATTACATTCAGATTTACTCACTCAAATTTTACATTTTTGCCCTGAGCAGTCACCTTGGCAACGGGTATATGTGCCTTTCTTTCAAACGGTCAAAATTTACATACCACTAGCCAGTACGACCTGAAGCGAAACAACGACTGCCGTATTCTGCGGTTGATTTGTGATTCGTAAGGTACCATCGATTTATGGTATGACACCCAGTTAGTTGTTTTCGTGTTCAGTTGACATTTCACATGCCGCCGTGGCTACGCGTGGGACACTTGTGAACTTATATGGAGCGGTCAGCGGTGAGCGAAACTCGTAAATCCCGCCAGTCTTTTGAAGTAGCAACTGTCTCTCCACTCCACTTAGAACTGTTAGTAATGCCACAGTTCATGAGGCTACAAGACATAAAGCCACATAAGCACAGCAACTGGGCTATGGCAGAAGGTTTGTCCCAACTGATGGTCAGAGAACAGAGTAACATGGTTCATCTCTTGCTTAAAAGTCTCCCATCTCTCATGTAAAATACTACAACAATCGTTTAGAGCGAGGAAAGCCAGACTTTCACCCCCTGAATGAACGCTTATTTTCGGTTCTTGGCTTGGAAATTGTGCACAGAAACCAGACGCATGTTGGTGACCTGGTCCAAAGATTAGTTTCCTCTTTCTTGAGATGCAAGCCATTCAAGTTCCAGGCTTTGTTGTACTCAGCCTAGGTTTCTTCATAACACCTGACTTAGTTTACAAGGCCTGTCTACGTTAACTGACTGAAAGAATTTTTAACACGGAAAGGCTGGAGACACCAAACAGGGATGTGAACTGAAGAAACGATACAGAACGCCAGAATTAATTGTGGGACCAAGCCTATTCAACCCGTTGAAAGTTTCATCCCAACTGTCACCACCGACACATATAAAGTGACTGTAAACCTCCAAGGGGAGACTGAAGCTCACATCCAAACAAATTATGTGCAAACTTGCTTATTTCTTTCATATATGAAGCACCTTAACTGGACGAATCCGTGTTCAAAGATGTGTTCGGTCAGGAGGCGTGTACTGTGTATCAGGTAATTTTTATCGCCCACAGTTCAACGGTGAACTAGAGAAAGAACAACCAAAGCCGCGCTATAAACATCCAACGAAGTGTTTACTCAGTTTCAAATGGCATGGGCAAAACCTATCATTGAGAATCATCACCTGGATATAGGGTTATCTAAGAACACGTGTTTGGATGGTTGGATGGCATTCAACGTGCACCTGATTGATACGAATGGTTAAAAACCAACTACCTTTGCCTAGTTGGTGTAACAATGACGGTTTGTACAGAGCCAAATGCCTTACTGTTTGCGAATTCTGACTGCGATGCCAACCCAGAGAACTGATATTTGCAAACAAAAGTGTGATGATTCACTAGCATGCCACATGAGGGCCTTCTTTTCCAGTTGTAAATATTGCTTGGTTTTCGACCCGTTTCTGTAGCTTTAGAATTATCTAAATGTCCCAGCTTCTATTTCAAGAAAAGTTTTGTAAGCATTCCGGGGGGTGGGGGAAGGTAGACGTAATACACTACTCATAAGGTTACTGAAAATTCTTCCACAGCCCACGACCGGTTTTGCCCTTCTTGGGGTTCATCAGGTAGGCACAGCCTCCAAGTTTCCGTAAACCTTATGTTCTACTTGAACCCAAATTGGACTGTTTTCGAGAAATACACTCATTTGCAAATCAATTTGGTTTTCACGAGAGACTCAACTGTATCTCTCATTTATGGTATTCTACAAATGAACGTGATGCACACAGGCCGTCTCATCTTTTAGTTGACACGATATTCGAGATATCACAGTATATTTTCATAAAGGAAACTACTCACCAGGTTGCTGAAAATTCTTCGACAGCCCACGACCGGTTTCGCCCTTCTTAAGGCACATCAGGTAGGCGCGGCCCCCGTGTTTCCGTCAACCGTATGTTTCACTTAAAACCAAATCGCACTAAATTAGCGAAATGCACTCAGTTGCATACAAATTTGGTTTTGCGAGAGACTCACCTAGTGCTATGAGTTTGGTGGAAACTCGGGGACTGCGCCCACCCGAGAGGAGCTGTCGAAGAATCTTCAGAAACCTTGTGATTAGTGTATTATGTCCATACATGTATCGCGTTATCTCGAATATCGTACCGGCTGAAACATGAGACGGCCTGATGCAGCACATTCAGCTGCTTAAAAGCATCATAAACGAGAGATTCGGCTGGGCTTTAAGTGAGGCTATCGCAAACCCGAATTGGTTTGCAAGTGAGTGTATTTCGCCAAGTGCGTGGGATTATTGTTTGGCAGCGTTTCGCTTTCGACATAAATCTTAATCAGGACAAGACTGAGCCAAATTGAGCGCCGGTTTCCCATTCACGCTCTCCATAGCCGTGGTTCCAGGCATCTGTTTGACTCTCCTCCTCTTCTCAAGCTTGACACGCGGTTGGCTTTGTTACCGATAGGCCGTCTAAGGTAGGACCAACAATCTGTGCCAACTATATGTATCGCTGTTGGCTGTTATACCCTCCCTCAACACATCAGAGTAGTTCACCTGTCCTTCGTCTTCCCAGTATGCGGCTTACCATCCTATGTATCACATATGAGAATATCACACCGGCTACAGACGTGACCAACTACCACTTGTAACTGTTGTTTCATCCGATCGATGTGTCATCAAATAGTACTCAAACCAGTCCCTGTTTATTTGTGATTTACTTGGTGTTCATTGGTAAGCAGCTCAACAGTGGCTGAAATGCAGCTTCTAACAAGAAGCTTGACTCTCGCTTCACAATCTTGACACGCGGTTGACTTTGTTACCGATAGGCCGTTTAAGGTAGGACCAACAATCTGTGCCAACTATATGTATCGCTGTTGGCTGTTATACCCTCCCTCAACACATCAGAGTAGTTCACCTGTCCTTCGTCTTCCCAGTATGCGGCTTACCATCCTATGTATCACATATGAGAATATCACACCGGCTACAGACGTGACCAACTACCACTTGTAACTGTTGTTTCATCCGATCGATGTGTCATCAAATAGTACTCAAACCAGTCCCTGTTTATTTGTGATTTACTTGGTGTTCATTGGTAAGCAGCTCAACAGTGGCTGAAATGCAGCTTCTAACAAGAAGCGACATACTCCCATGCATACGGATGAAGTTAGAGGAACCCAGCGGCTTCCTTTTCATTTCCGTATCCCAGGACTCTTAGTCTACTTGCTCCGTTCCAGTGAAGTCTGAACTCCTCCTCAATCATTTGGTTGGGCATGGATAGGGCTGGCATTTACACTGTCCTCGGATTCCTAATAGGTTCCGAATACACCACGGATTATGTGCTACTTAATGTATGTACGCAAAAGCCGGCTTTTCTGCGCGATGTTCCAATCCGCCAGCCTTGTACTCATTTACATCCCACTTCCCTTTTCAGATCGAAGACCGCGTTCTTCCAGACTCAGCCCGCAGCAGTCCTCTACCTCCATCAGTGTTCAGCCATCCAAGTCCCGGCCCACATTCCTCACCTTCCAGTGCCCACTGTACGCGCCCCTTATCAGTCCTAACCGACTTTTCTTCGTCCTCCGGCAGTCGTGGTCATCCTGACCTGGAGAGATCGACCACTGTCACCTCCATTTCCTACCCAAACGGAATGGACGGCTTCAACCACAGACCCCCAAACGCCTCAATTCACAGTAGTGAATCACACTCCCCCAATCCTCTCACGAGAATCACACACAAACATTCAAATTCCCAAATGAATACACCGACCACAACCCCAGCGACAGATTCCATCAATCAACCACGATCTCCGTGCAATCCAGATAATATCTGTCGACTTAAATCTGCTAATGGCTACTGCAACTCTTCCAGTCCCTCTCCTAGCATCCCGCTGCAATGTTCCATCGCATCCAGCACACCGACAATGAAACCCACACATCGTGGAATTGGTGTGAATACAACCTTAGACAGTTGTAAGGGTACGATAACTGAGCCGGATTTACTGGGTCCGTGTGAGCCAGGAACTACCATATGCTTGAATGGAATTGTGTGGCTAGAGACTACGACTGGTAAGTGGATATTTTAGGCCGCAACGTTTTTTTTAATTTCTGGCAATAATCTTGCTCTCTTACGTACGTACCTCCACAGCCACATTAATTCAAAAATGTACACAGTTTTCACTGAGACTTGCACTGAGGAATTTGTCGACTGTACTTATCCGGTTAGAAATGAGTCAACATTGGGTTTCATCGGAATTCACATTTTTGCAGTGTGCCAGTTCCCGAGGCGCATCAGATCAGTCTTCAAATTTGACTCGAAATTATGTGTTCCTGATGGAACGGTGATTTCGCTATGCGTCATTCATGTGTTATCTAAAGTTAGTGGTACTGATCAGCTGATGTGACGCAAGGCGATCACTTCTATGGGCTATGCCCTACTCATAACAAAAGAGATATCACGTGTGGCAGCCCTATCGTTTTTTCGCTCAAGCCAATAAACAACCTGTTAGCTGATTTAATACTGATAAAAAAGGTTTATTTAAGAATTGTGGGGTTACCAGTTGCACTAGAACCGTTAGGGTCAGCCATTTTGTTATTGATTTACATAAGAAAAAGCCTAATGCTTACAGGGTTTGAATCTCCAATCATATTGGACCCAGCGAGTGAGGAAAGCCTCCCCACAGCTCTCGTATCATGTTTAAAATAAAACCACTGTTTGGGCTCGTCCACCTGATAACCAAACGACAAACTAGACGTGTGCCCGCGTACGCGCAATACAGTCGAAAATACAGAGTCGTTAGATGGGATTCGTATCTACAACCACTCGTCCTTCTGCTCGCTGATAGGCATCAACTTCTAGACTAGTTTGGTCACACTAATGGCATTGACAGATGTCAAGTGTTGATTCAGTAGGCAGAGGCCTGGCGGAACCTGAGTGCACGTGTGGGACGTAGGGCAGAGTCTACGGTAGCTCAGTTGGTAGGCCGCTACCCGGTAAACAAAGGGTCGCGGGTTGTTGTCCCGTTTAAAAACTGTCATTTCGTTTGCACTACGAGTACTCAGTTCGTGTTCAAGGTCTCTCAAATCCGTGTTTCTTCCGTATCAGATGATGTTTATCAGAACAATTCACTTCGTTTCCAGGAGCTAGTTCCTCATCCGACGTCAATTTTCGCACATCTGCCTGTAAGTATTCATGGGAAATATGGTGTGCACATCGTGGTATAGAACAAGTATATCGTACGCACATTTGCAAATCCTCTAGGAAACATTCTAGCTATGCCTGAAGTATTTTGAAGTAAACTCGAGTTTCATAGTAAACCAAGTTACATTAATCAAATGACCGGTCAATAAACTTGATTTCCCCTACCGACGAAAGCTAATCAGATTGGTTCAATAAAACTTGTTGTCCCGCTGTTGCGACCAAAAACAACAAACTGCTGTGTAGAAAATACTTCAGGTGTTTGGTGGGGGGGACGATCAGTAGTCTGCCGGAATCGACCGACTACGCTAAATCACCTTCTGAGCTTACTGACCCAAAGATCATCCGAAAATTATCTCATTGTTCTCAAGCATGAAATGGGTGTGGTCACACCGTGCTAAATGAGGCATCCGAGAGCGCAAAAAAAGCTCTCCACTGCATGTTCCGTTTTTCTCATTCGACTGTAGTGAGAAGGCGTTACCATGACGACCAAAAGGAACACGTACCCCAATCTAAGTTCTTACCAGACTTGCAACTGATTTAGAGTGAGCTCAAAGCTTGACACACTGCAACTATGGTAGATTAGCTATGCAGCTACCATGGCAACACCGAGTGAACAAAAAACATGTTACGGATTAGATCGGAATGTCTTGGCCTTCTCACGTCAAATCAAGTGATAACCAATTAGGAATTTCATGAAAAAACACATTGACGCATTCGATTTTGTTCCGTTGTTATTTGTTTGTTAAGGAGATTCTAGATTTGACTCTCTCAGCTGTTTAGTCCTTGTGATACCATCTTATTGTTTAAGAGTCTTGTGATGCCATTTCGTAATGCAAGCGTCTGTACCATTGTATCGTGTCTAAGTATGTCGAGCCATACATGGTACAATGAGATACAATCGCCCCCAAATGACAAACACGTCACTGGTTCGAACAACTTACTCTCGTTCAGGCCCTTTTTTGTATTCTTGTGGAAAATGCTGATAGGGAGTTTTTTGATAGCGTGAAGGCTGAGCTCCGAATACTTGCATCGCTTACTGTTTGGTCCAGGCACTCAACTACCGTTTTTTGGCAACAAAATTGGCATTCCATGATAAACACTGAATTAATTTCTACGAGTACGAGCCACAACTAAATGTTCTTGCAACTACAATTGCCACTTTACTTATCAGCCGACTTTCCATTTCCCTATTGTTGTTGTTGGATGTCCAACAATTGAGGACTCTGATTAAAATCAACTGCCTTCCACTGTCCTATCTCTTCGCACCCAACAACAACCGACAAATTCAAGTAGCTTACGATGAACCCCTCTATCTCCAGTTGGCTTTTATCATTCCGACGTTCGAATTTTACTTTAGACTGGACGGTTCAGATGTATTCTGGCTATACTCTGGGAAGATGGTATAATAGGTCAAAGTTATTTTTCATAAAGGAGACTACTCACAAACACCGATAAGCAGACACCTATTCGTGCAATTTGATTTCAAGTAGAAATAAAGTTGACGGAAACTCGTGGACTGCGCCTACCTGATGAGCCCCAAGAAGGGCGAAACCGGTCGTGAGCTGTCGAAGAGTTTTCAGCAACCTGGTGAGTAGTTTCCTTTATGAAAATATACTGCGATATCTCAAATATCGTGCCAACTGAATCATGAGGCGGCCTGTGTGCAACACATTCAGTTGTAGAATATCATAAACGAGAGGATACAGTTGAGTCTCTCGTGGAAACCAAATTAATTTGCAAATGAGTGTATTTCTCAAGAAGGTCGAAGTTTTGTTGATTTCATGGTGAGATGATATCCCAATGTCTGACCGGCGGGGTTGTCATGATGGTCCGACAACCCTACACAGTCAATCCAACAGAATTGAATGACATCGGTTATGGACCTGCACTTCTAAATCTTTGGCAGTTTCGTTAAGCTCAGCAAGTCATTTTTCCATGGAGAACGACTGAAACTATTCACCATGGTAGTTCCCATGTAGCGTCCAAATTCAGGACGTTCTGAACGGTAGAACTGCTGTGCAACTATGCAAGAAACTAAGACACTAAGGTGCGTTTGATTACATGTGGTGCTGTTTTTTGGAGTCCATTATTAAAAAAAACAACTGAACACAAGTTGCGCCATTTAGGAATTTTACGCTGTAGTCTACACACAAACAAACCTCTCCAGACGAAAAAACCCATTTGTGTACCTTTGAAAGGGATGAATCATTCCATCTTTGACCGCTTCACTGAACACGAGCACATTCTCCAAGCAAGCGATTTTTTATATCTTCTTGGCGTGTTTCTCCACTGCTAGAAAACGGTAAACAGCGTTCCAGTATACCGACAAACAATAGTCTGTGACGTAACACATGAACGTGTGCGTGTGCGCGCGGTTGTTAGGTTTTCCAGATGTGGTCATTCTGGTTTGAGCACGTTTCCCTCCTACACTCCCTGTTCTTGATATTGTTCTAAATCATACATTACGTTTAATATCGCAATCGAATTATCTATCTAGTAGCGATGAAATCGGGGAAGAGGGGCTAAGCCAATAGATGTAGATTTTCGAAAGTTGTCTCTCAGACGGTTGACCAATAAGGGAGCGTTCTGAGCAAGAAAGTACAGCGGTACTTCAAGCAGGCTTAGTTAACTTGGGGTCTCTTACTTTAAATCACACTACTAAGCTCATCCTGCCACACTTCGGACAAGTTTCAATTCTTGAACTTTCGGGTAGTCAAAAAGGTTGAAATCAAACTGCGCGACCTTTAATAAAATAAGTCAGCCGGTTCCAGAATACCCCAGCCCCCGTTTTTTGTCGCTTGACACTTCTGGCAACGCTGATTCAAAAGACAAAGACATGGTAATCAAGGTTGCTTCGAATGAATTTTTCCATTTATACGTCAAAAATTCTTATGATACTACTGAAATTATTTTGGTAGCAAATGAGGCTTATCTGCTCCGTCTTTTGCTTTCTAGCTTCCGGTTTAAGAAGTTCAACTCACGTCGGTGTTTGTATGAAGAGTTTTCGCGTCTAAACTTCGAATTTAGGAGTTTTGAAGGCACCATAGGAATTCTTTGTGTTCCAGATATGAAGATAATTTGGTAATTGTAGAGAAACCTTAAAATTCGCGTGCGTTCCGATGTATACCATGGTATAGGCACTGTCGGGATGAGGGTGAGCCCGACATCTCTGTCGACACGTCTGTATAAAGTGATGGCGGTGTTCGAAGTGGGATAAAGAAAACTGGAAATTTAAATGGATACTTTCGTGTTAAATAGGGTTCTCAATTTCTCCCACATCTTATGAGTAACTAATAAGGATCTGCGTTTGGACAGCCTACTTGTACAGGGCAGGCTCACCAAAAATACTTTCAGAATGTGTTGATTGCACATCGGTTCATCAGGCTGGTCATCTCCAATCCTTCACAAAGTTGAAAAACCACTGTTTTTGACACCACAGATTTAAACTGCCATGTCTTCACAAGCAGGTAAAATGGTCGGAGTGATTTTCCCACGGTTAATTGAAAAATGTGTCTCACAAGCGCAAAGCTAAGCACACATTCGGATCACACACAAAAATGACCCAGCATGCGTCCAACTTCACACTGTTGGCTCGTTCTCATCGCTGTTCACTCGGGCCCTCAGTCAAGCACCATGGGCCACAGCCACTGGCCCATCAGGACTTCGCAGGCTTCTGGTGTTTCACACGTCCTAAAGCTGGTTACTAGACCAGTTTCCGCTTTTGGGTGCGTTCGCAGCGTGCGTGATTAGTTGGTGCCATCGAGCGAAAGACCAAAGCGGTCCCGTTTTTCAACGATTTGTCTGTTTGTGCGGTTCTGTTGTAATTCTGTTGCTCTTACAGTAGATATGCCTATACTCAAAAACACTG